CCTCCCTGTACCGCTGATACCACCACTTCAGTACTACTCCCTGAATCGCTGATAACACCCCTTTAGTGCTACTCCCTGTATCGCTTATACCATATTTTCAGTACTACTACCTGTACCGCTGATACCTCACTTTCAGTACTATTCCCTGTATCGCTGATACCACAACTTCAGTGCTACTCCCTGTACCGCTGATACCACCCCTTCAACTCTTTTCCTTGTACAGCTGATACCACCCCTTCAGAACTACTCCATGTACCGCTGATACCACCCCTTCAGTACTACTCCCTGTACCGCTGATACCACCCCTTCAGTACTACTCCTTGTACCTCTGAAACCACCCCTTCAGCATTACTCCGTGTATCGCTAATACCACCCCTCCAGCACTACTCCCTGTAACGCTTATACCATCCTATCAGTACTACTCCCTGTATCGCTGATACCACCCCTTCAGTACTGCTCCCTGTATTGCTGATACCGCCCCTTCAGGAATTCTCCCTGTATCGCTGATACCACCCCTTAAGTACTACTTCCTGTATCGATGATACCACTCCTTCAGTACTACTCCTTGCATCACTGATACCACCCCTTCAAAACTACTCCCTGTATCGCTGATACCACCCCTTCGGCACTCCTCCCCGTATTGCTGATACCACCCTATCAGCACTACTCCCTGTACCGCTGATACCACCTCTTCAGTACTACTCCCTGTACCGCTGATACCACCCCTCAGCACTTCTCCCTGTATCGCTGATATCACCCCTTCAGCACTACTCGCTGTATCGCTGATACCACCCATTCAGCACTACTTCTTGTACCGCTGATACCACCCCTTCAGCGCTACTCCCTGTATCGCCGATACCACCCCTTCAGTACTACTCCCTGTACCACTGATACCAGCCTTTCAGCACTACTCCCTGTACAACTGATACCAACTCTCTAGCACTCCTCCCTGAACCGCTTATTCCACCACTTCAGTACTACTCCCTGTATCGCTGATACCACCCTATCAGTAATACTCCCAGTATCACTGATACCACCCCTTCAGCACTACACCCTGTACCGCTGATACCACACCTTGAGCACTACTCCCTGTATCGCTGATACCACCCCTTCAGTATTACTCCCTGTATCTCTGATACCACCCCTTCAATACTACTCCCTGAACGGCTGATACCACCCCTTCAGCACTACTCCCTGTACCGCTGATACCACCCCTTCACCACTACTCCCTGTATTGCTGATATCACCCCTTCAGTACTACTCCTTGTACCGCTGATACCACCTCTTCAGTACTAATCCCTGTATCGCTGATACCACCTATTAAGTACTACTCCCTATATCGCTGATGCCACCTATTTAGCACTACTCACTGTAACGCTTATACCATCCTATCAGTACTACTCCCTGTATCGCTGATACCACCCATTCAGCGCTACACCCTGTATCGCTGATACCACCCCTTCAGCACTACTCACTGTACTGCTGATACCACCCCTTCAGCACTACTCTCCGTATTGCTGATACCACCCCTGCAGTACTACTCCCTGTACCGCTGATACCACCCTTTCAGCACTACTCTCCGTATCGCTGATACCACACATGTACTTAAGAACATACGAAAGAAGGAACACTGCAACAGTCCTACTGACCCATGTGAAGCAGGTCCATGCATCCCCCCCAGCCTAGAACAGTGACCACCTAGTCAGGTCACTTTCACTTAAGGAAGGAGCTGGGCACCAAACCTGGTAGCACAAGCTAGTCAGGTCCAACTCACACCCACCCACATCCACTCATGTATTTATCTAACCTATTTTTAAAACTACACAACGTTTTAGCCTGAATAACTGTACTCGGGAGTTTGTTCCACTCATCCACAACTCTATTACCAAACCAGTACTTTCCTATATCCTTCCTGAATCTGAATTTTTCCAACTTGAAACCATTGCTGTGAGTCCTGTCTAGGCTAGATATTTTCAGCACACTATTTACATCCCTTTATTTATTCCTGTTTTACATTTATACACCTCGATCATATTCCTCCTAAATAAAGATATTATTATTATTATTATTATTATTATTATTATTATTATTATTACTACTACTACTACTACTACTACTACTACTACTACTACTACTACTACTACTACTACTACTACTACGTCTCTCCAGAAAGGTTCCATGATGCTTGTGAGGGGGTTTCTTGATCTAGGGAATTGGATCTGTGCTCCGGTTCCCTGAACTAAGCCTATATACCTTCTACATTTCCCGCCACAAGCGCTGCATAATCGTACGGCTTTAGCGCTCCCCCTTGATTATAATAATAATTATTATATTATTACTGCTCTCGCAGCTTTCCACCTGACTCCTGCCATTATATAAACTCATTTCTTAGTTATCTCTGTATTAGGACTGAAGAAGTTATTCCAGGAGAAACATTTCCTTTAATAAATGTTCTCAACTGCTTATGTCTTTTTCCAAATGTTTTCGGTATCACCATAACATTGTCAACCCCGGGACGACCCCCGGGACGACCACCGGGACGACCCCCGGGACGACCCCCGGGACGACCCCCGGGACGACCCCCGGGACGACCACCGGGACGACCCCCGGGACGACCCCGAGGACGATGTTCAAGTATTGTTTACTAGTTACATTTAGGTCACACCTTCAGGGAATAAGTAGGTAGGTTATACTGTTAGTACACTAATATTAGAATTATTGAGGCAACTGTAGATAATAATAATGTAGACCTAAGACATTAACATAGGTAGTAATAGGCCGATAATGTATGCAAACACTAGGTTATGTTAGCCAGGGAGAACTGGCAGCCCAAGTTTGAATACTGGGGCACGGGTTTGAGACCGCAGTGTCCTTTCTTCTAAGACCAGGCACCATCTGAGCAAGTGCCAAGATCAGCAGGCGGCACCCCCAAGTGTCTTCACATACTAGACCTGGGGAAATCTGGTGGAGGCACCTCGACTTACCGTAGATAACCTCCATCAGGCCCATACAGAAAGAAGACAATACCTCTCTTTTTTCTGCAAGATTCTGGCCAGTGTCTGGGGAAAATTGCGAGTGAGTTATACTGTGGGCCTTGTGCAGGCGGCAGTTCATGACCAGTACGTACCGGCATCACTCCTTCAGGCTTAAAAGCTAGTGTCCATTTCTGCATAGTCATGCTAGGGGATACACACCAACTTGGAAATAGGAATTTCTGAGGTGCAGGCAGGTCACTAATGTCAACTGAATATTGCAGGAATTAAGGCTCCCGGTTGCACGTGGTTCTGAGGGGAAGTCCACAGGGGCTAAAGCTTAGGGAGGTTGAGGACCGGGATATATTCTCCAACACCAAGTAAGTTAGTCCTTTATACGTGCATGTAGGCGAGATTTCTTGCAACATCAGTCATTTATGAAAATCTGCCCTATAAGCCACTTGTGAGGCTGAGGTACCGACCTCAGGGCTCGGCGTCAACAGAGCTGGCTAGGGTAGACAACTCACATGGAGGCAGTCCACACAAATTTTCACAAAGCCCCACCCGAACCATGGTTTGTTTACCCGGAATATATTCCTCATTTAATTCACGTATATCATGAAAGATACTTACAAGTAATTCGACTGATACATATTTGCAGGAATAATTCCTGAATTAGACACAATGACAGACTGAACGTTTCCTGGAAAATTGCTGACCATAGTGGAAGCCGCCGCGTCACACAGCACCTCAGGCACAGTGTTGTCACTACGGCTGCCCAGCACAGAATCTTACAAACATTTTCTGCTATTCCTCTGGTAGTGGGATTTATTCACATTATATTTAAGCATTGAATAATGAGGGAAGCCTTGATGAGGTACACTTGAAACCGCCTTGAAGCGTTAGAATTAACACGCTATTTAAAGGATACTGACTAGTTATTATTAGCCGCGCTCTACCCACTGGGTACCCGTGGGTACGCTTGGTGTGGGCAGCTCACTCACACTCCTAGTTCAAGGTTATGAATAACAGCAGAACTTATGCTTCTGTTTCCAGTAGCTGTTTAACTTACTAAGATTTAAATGATAATGAACTTATTTACCAGGAAATTTAATATTCTTGGGAGCACCATGAGAAATAAATTTATTATAGATGTGTGTGGACAGTTTCCAAGTGTTGCATCATCCACATTTTTAACGAAATATTTATTATTTAATGCTTAGTTATGATTTAATAACGATTAAATATTTTAATACAGCGCATTAATGCTCGTAATACGAAATATTTCTCTAATTGAGTATATTTTAATAATTATTATTACTGACAATTATTTGATATTATATATATATATATATATATATATATATATATATATATATATATATATATATATATATTATATATATATATATATATATATATATATATATATATATATATATATATATATATAAATGTGTGTGTGTGTGTGTGTTTATTTTGAATATCTGAATGTATGAAGTATATTACTGTTGACTGAAGGTCTGTTATATTATAGTGAGTTGACACTACAACAGTTACCAGTTACCAGTTACCAGTTACCAGTAAAGAAAACAGTGCAGCAGTAATTTCTTATATTTATGTGAGTGTCAGTGATACTGTGCTCTGGTAAAGATTAAAACTTTATGCAAAAATACGGGAAAAAAATATATTATGCTGTCGATGGGATAATGTGTAGTTGAGACTGTGAGTGAAAACTATAAGATTTAATTAATAATTACGATTAAACTGAATGAAAAATCCTAGATTCTGAGAGAACAGCAAATATTAGGACACCAGTGGAAATAAGTCACTTTGTTTGGGTAATCCCATCTTCTCTACACATATACTGCTATGTATGATAATCTATGTATTTGTGTATACATGAATAAACTTAATATTACAATATAAGAAGCAGCCAACGCAGAGTGAAGGTCAGTGCTGGATAAACAATAACGAAGGTTGAACAGAGATTTGTGTTAAGTTGTGAACACTGGACACAAATGCAACACTGCAACGCCCAGCGGCGCCTCAGACCTTGACACTTACTCAGCAGATCAGTTACACACAGGCAGGACCACATACACCAGCTGTATCTCTGAACACACAGTCGGGACCATAACACCAGCTGTATCCCTCAACACACAGGCCGGACCACAGACACCAGCTGTATCCCTCAACACACAGGCCGGACCACAAACACCAGCTGTATCCCTCAACACACAGGCCGGACCACAGACACCAGCTGTATCCCTCAACACAGAGGCCGGACCACAGACACCAGCTGTATCCCTCAACACACAGGCCGGACCACAGACACCAGCTGTATCCCTCAACACACAGGCCGGACCACAAACACCAGCTGTATCCCTCAACAGCAGCCAAGACAACAGAGAAAAGGTACCTAAATTAACTGTTTCGTTATGTGTTTGTAACCTAATGTATCATTTACAATGAATAGAGTGTAAATGATACAAGTGTGAAACACTGAGATTGGGATTATATTCTACATTAAGTACGTAAGAGGTACATATGCGGTAACACTCTTCTCCTTGTTATACATGTATAATTAAGATATAAATCAGTACATAATGAATAACCATGAAGACTTTTGGAGTTATTACTGTACTACCTCTCACAGTACAAACATTGAATGTGCAATAATGGTACTACCACTTACAGTATAAACATGGGGTGTACAATAATGGTATTACCACTTACAGTATGAACATAGGGTGAACAATAATGGTATTACCACTTACAGTATGAACATGGGGTGTACAATAATGGTATTACCACTTACAGTATAAACATGGGGTGTACAATAATGGTATTACCACTTACAGTATGAACATAGGGTGAACAATAATGGTATTACCACTTACAGTATAAACGTGGGGTGTACAATAATGGTATTACCACTTACAGTATAAACATGGGGTGTACAATAATGGTATTACCACTTACAGTATAAACATGGGGTGTACAATAATGGTATTACCACTTACAGTATGAACATAGGGTGTACAATAATGGTACTACCACTTACAATATGATCATAGGGTGTGCAATAATGGTACTACCACTTACAGTATGAGCATGGGGTGTACAGTAATGGTACTACCACTTACAGTATGAGCATGGGGTGTACAATAATGGTACTACCACTTACAATATGATCATGGGGTGTGCAATAATGGTACTACCACTTACAGTATGAGCATGGGGTGTACAGTAATGGTACAACCACTTACTGTATGAGCATGGGTGTACAATAATGGTACTGCCACTTACAGTATGAGTGTGGGGTGTACAGTAATGGTAATACCACTTACAGTATGAGCATGGGGTGTACAGTAATGGTATTACCACTTACAATATGATCATGGGGTGTACAATAATGGTACTACCACTTACAGTATGAACATGGGGTGTACGATAATGGTACTGCCACTTACAGTATGAGTGTGGGGTGTACAGTAATGGTAATACCACTTACAGTATGAGCATGGGGTGTACAGTAATGGTATTACCACTTACAATATGATCATGGGGTGTGCAATAATGGTACTACCACTTACAGTATGAGCATGGGGTGTACAATAATGGTACTGCCACTTACAGTATGAGTGTGGAGTGTACAGTAATGGTAATACCACTTACAGTATGAGCATGGGGTGTACAGTAACGGTATTACCACTTACAATATGATCATGGGGTGTACAATAATGGTACTACCACTTACAGTATGAGTGTGGGGTGTACAGTAATGGTATTACCGCTTACAATATGATCATGGGGTGTGCAATAATGGTACTACCACTTACAGTATGCGTGTGGGGTGTACAGTAATGGTAATACCACTTACAGTATGAACATGGGGTATACAATAATGGTACTGCCACCTATAGTATGAACATGGGGTATACAATAATGGTACTACCACTTACAGTAATAACATGGGGTGTACAATAATGGTACTGCCACTTACAGTATGAGCATGGGGTGCACAATAATGGTACTACCACTTACAGTATGAGCATGGGGTGTACAGTAATGGTACTACCTCTTACAATATGATCATGGGGTGTACAATAATGGTATTGCCACTTAAAGTATTAACATCGGGTGTACAATAATGGTACTACCACTTACAGTATGAGTATGGGGTGTACAGTAATGGTACTACCACTTACAGTATGAGTATGGGGTGTACAATAATGGTACTACCACTTACAGTATGAACATGGGGTATACAATAATGGTACTGCCACCTATAGTATGAGCATGGGGTGTACAATAATGGTACTACAACTCACAAGGTGAACATGGGTATACAATAATGGTACTACCACTTACGGTATGAGCATGGGGTGTACAATAATGGTACTGCCACTTAAAGTAATAACATGGGGTGTACAACAATTGTGCTACCACTTACAGTATGAGCATGGGGTGTACAATAATGGTACTACAACTCACAAGAAGAACATGGGTATACAGTAATGGTACTACCACTTACAGTATGAACATGTGGTATACAATAATGGTACTACCACTCACAAGACGAACATGGGATGCACAGTAATGGTGTTACATCTCAAAGGATAAACCTTGGGAGTACAATAATAATAAAATAACTCTCTAACGAACTTCGGATGAATAAATATAGTACTACTATTATCTACGTGAACCTGATGTGTACAGTAGTGGTAAATACAATCACCGCTTAAACATGGAGTGTACAACCAGATGTGTGTAAATCCAGTCCCCCCAGAGAAAGATCGCAATCAGGTGAATTCGAAACCAAGTGTGAGTAGAGGCATAGCATCCATTGTGACACTCGAGACCACTCAGCCGCAGATGCCACAGGAAACTAGGTAGTCTGATTACGGACCATATTTTGTAATTGTCCTTGGCACACCAGGGAGCCTCATACATTGTTTCCAGCAGTATAATTCTTCTCTGTTTTCTGAAGAAATGAGCGATTTTATATCAATGTGCGACTCAGAAACAACCAGGTTACCTAGTTATGTGTGGCATCAGAGTCTTAGTGGTTGTAGAACATCACTTGGGGAACTATACCTCTCACCACATGGTTGTCAATCCAACTGACTGAGATCTTTCTCTGTATTTATCTCAGGTTGTTTCTACGAGGTGCTTTGAGTATGGGGGACATACCTTTATGTTCTCTTTTGGGGGGGTTCTGGTGGGCCACACATAGGTGTGAATTCTGGGGGTTGCACTAATGAGTGAATTTTGGGGTTGCGGTAAGGTGGGAATTTTGGGGGAGGGGGCACACTAGATGGGAATTTCTTTGGTGGGAGATAACTTGAAATGAAAAAGAGCTCAGTCTCAAGCTCCCAAACCCCTTTCCCTACTTTCTCTCACATCCCTACCCTTCATTACCCACTTACATCTCTCCGTTTCAACCTGCCTCCTCTCTCATCCCAATGTCCCCCTCACCTGCTCCATAACCCCCTCCCCATTCCACCACTAACACCTCCCCTTTGACCTCCATTGACCAAGCTATCATCCACCACCCTAACCTCATCCCCTCGCACTAGGATGTAATGCCCACTACCTTATGTGATAATTTTGATGTGATAAATGGTTTAACAAAACGACAAGTTAGGACTCTTTATTAAGGAAACGTCTGAACACACAGTGGCTTCATCAGTTCAATACAAGGTAGAAATGGGTAAGGAGAGGAGGAGTTTGAGTGTCATCAGTCCCTTGGCCTGGAATCGACGTGAGTCCACCAGTTTTGTAGAAAGTGCAGCATATGGCCGGAGAAGTGGCTTATATACTGTAGTCAGGTGAGTGGAAGGAGGAGGTGGCGGGATTACAGTGGAAACATCCACTAGTGTAAGTAGGTCTTCGTCCAAAGGTTGGACAAGTGATAAAGAATTACTGTGTCAAGTTCCCATGATGTTGCAGTGTCTGACAGATGTGATAAATGGTTCTTAAAGCCCACAAGTTGAAGAGCGAGACACTTATGTAACATATAGGAAACGTTTCTACTTTATATTGGACGGATAAAGCCACTACGTGGCGAAACGTTGACTTAATAAAGATTATCATATGTTGCATATGTGTCTCATTCTCAAATTCTCATATGTTCATATGTGTCCTCATTGTTCATATTCCTCATATGTTTGCATACTGGTATCATTGTTCAAAATTATCATATTAACAAACTGTAAACCTTTGGATCAAGATTGAACCAAGATCAAGCTCAAACCACTCCCTCCACCCACACTCCCCACCCACACTCCCCACCCACACTCCCACCACCACACTCCCTCCACCACACTCCCACCACCACACTTCCCCCACCACACTCCCTCACCACCTCCCCACCACAACTCCCTCCACCACACTCCCTCCACCACACTCCTCCCACCACACTCCCTCCACCATCCCCTCCACCACACTACCTCACCACACTTCCTCCACCACACTCCCTCAACCACACACCCTCCACCACACTCCCTCCACCACACTCCCTCCACCACACTCCTCCACCACACTCCCTCCACCACAACTCCCTCCACCACAGTCCCTCCACCACACTCCCTCCACCACATTCCCTCCACCACACCCTCCACCACAACTCCCTCCATTAATAGAAAGAATACTATAGACCTCCACCACACTCCCTCCACCACAGTCCCTCCACCACACTCCCTCCACCACAGTCCCTCCACCACACTCCCTCCACCACAGCTCCTCCACCACACTCCCCCACCACATCCTTCCACCACACTCCCTCCCACCACACTCCCTCCACCACACACCCTCACCACACTCCCTCCACCACACTCCTCCACCACAGTCCCCCTCCCACCACACTCCCTCCACCACATTTCCCTCCACCACACTCCTCCACCACACTCCCCTCCACACACTCCCTCCACCAACACCTCCTCCACCACACCCCCTCCACCACACCCCTCCCACTCACACTCCCACCACCACACTCCCTCCACCACACTCCTTCCACCACACTACCCTCCACCACACTCCCTCCACCACAGTCCCCTCCACCACACTCCCTCCACCACATTCCTCACCACACTCCCTCCACCACACTCCTCACCACACTCCCTCACCACACTCCCCTCCACCACACGCCGCCACCTCACTCCTCCACACACTCCCTCCACCATCACTCCCTCCAACCATGCACACACTCCCTCCACCACACTCCCTCTCACCACACTCCCTCCACCACACCTCCCTCCACACACACCCTCCACCACACTCCCTCCACCACACTCCTCCACCACACTCCCTCCACCACACTCCCTCCACCACAACTCCCCTCCACCACAGTCCCCCACCACAGTCCCTCCACCACCACTCCCTCCACCACAACTTCCTCCACCACACTCCCT